ACAATTTCCAATAGCAAATTGATTGCGCCTTTCATGCAGCTATCTAAAAAGGGTCTTGAGTAATTGGCGAACAAATGTGTTGTCAAATTAGTAAGCAGTTGAAACACTTACAGAGGAAACACTTACAGAGGAAGATCCTGTTCATGGGACATGGAACATCAAAAACACTTTAGCGGCAACAGTGTGGTGCCATGCAAGCAGTTTAACTGGCAAGTTCTGCCAGTTAAACTGCTTGCATGTTTAACTGGCAGAACTTGCCAGTTAAACTGCTTTAACCCTTTAAAACCCAACAGTTTTTAAGCATACTCAGAAAATAGCGATTAAAAAAATATATATATATATATATGGATCTAAAATATGGAAAAATATAATTTAATAATTTTTTCTGGCTAATTATAATAGTATTTTAGGAAAAAAATTGGATGATTTTCATAAAAGTGATATAAAAACTGTAAATTTTTGCACATGATTTTACTGTATTTTTTAAACATTTCAGTCATTATCTCAGAAACTGTTAATTAAACCGCAGGAAGAAAGAGCCTGCAATGGTAGCATATGAGATAGAGGGCAGGTGGTTAATTATAAAAGTAAGACACTAAACAAAAAATCATAAAACCTTGGGTAGGTAGGTTAAAAGCGTAGGTACTTTTAGAAAGGTGAAGGGTACTCAAAATAAAAGCGTACATACTTTATGGACAACCTCTTTCCTAATACAAATACAAATATTTGAAGAGCTAAGTGCTAAAAGTACTTAAATCACAAAATAAATGGTTTAAGAAAATCTATTTTGATCAGTCATTTTAAATTCTTATTTTGAAGTGTTTCTGATCAAAGTATATTTCCTCAAAACATTTATTTTGTAACTTGAGTACTTTTAGCACTAAGCTCTTTATTTGTACTTTAGTATAAAAAAAAATACAAAGATTTTTTAGAGACAAGACTAATATAACCGTAAACTTGATAGAAAAATAAAAACAAGTCTTCTAACAAATTTCCCTTATAAACAAATTGTTAACTAATTTAGAGTTACAAACAGAAAAAAAAAAGCATAAACCTCTTGATTTTTCCTAAAAAAAAAAAGCACAAGATAATATAGTTTAGGAATAGCAAATACATTTTAATTACTAATACTCAAGAAACTTTTCTGAACTCAGCACATCTCTATATGTATAAATATATTGATAAATAGACACTCCTTAAAGAGATATTGTTGTAGTCATTACAACAGGATGAATACAACAACAGGATGACTACAACAATAGGCCACCACCTGTTTATTAAGACCCGCCCCCGTCCTAATATCTCTACATTTATTAAATCTGGAGATATATCCCACCCATCCATCCCACTTTGTATAAAGCACCAAAAAGTAACTTGACGATAATGAAACTGAAACATTTTTGACCTAATCAAATTGCTCCTTTAGTTGTTGTTGACTTGCTTTTTTTGTTTTCTTAGTAGTTTAAAAAAATCATGCTTAAATTTTAAAAACCTATTAAAATTTTAACAGAGGTGAGTTGAATTATACAAATGCAAATGTCTAGGCTATTTTTTTTTTCAAAAGTTGTATTAAATAATTTAAAATTATTTAATACAACTTTTGAAAAAAAAAATATAAAATCACAACAAATTGTATTTTGATTTTTTCTAAAACAGAAATAAATATATTTAAAAAAAATATTTTAAAGAAATAAATGTTATAATTTTCATATTAAATTTTTCAAGAAAGACCAGACAATAATTTTTTTTTCTTTTTTTATCTTATAAAATTTTTTATTACTTATTTGATGAAAATAAATATGAAATTTGTGATAAAAAATGGAAAGCGCCGATAACTGAGTCATGCCAATAACTATGAATCTATCATATCTGTCATTTCCATGTTGGCATTAAGGAAATTCCGGAGAATGGATAATCTCTATGCTTTAAATACACCTTGTGACTTCTCTTCAATATTTCTGGATAAAATAATTCTACATAAAGGTATTGGAGTTTAAAAAAAAACAAAAAAAAAACAACAATTTTTTAAAGTTATTTTTGGTATTTGTTAAACATCATCAGGGTTTATCTAGGTTCTAAATGAAAGATTTTCCTGACTCAACTCAAATATATAAGTAACTTCCCTGACTTTCTTTTTCTAGAAAAACAATCTTTACCTCCTGATTTTTTCCAAAAAACTACCCTTTACCGCCTGACTCATTATTGAAATAATTATAAATAGTCTCCAGAAAAAACTCACATTGACTTGCAGTGACACTAGCATCTAAAAAAAAATTATTCACATTGGCATGCAATGACACTGGCATATAAAATAAAACCGCATATATGATTGATCGTGTATGTTTTTTAATTAAAGGCTTATATTTATTTACACTTCACAACAACTAATTAAAAAAGTCTTTTTTATGACAAAATTTTTTCAAAGTTTTACATTTCTTTAACTTTATTTTGAAAATCAATTAATTTATAAAGAAAAGGAATAGCTACAATAAAGTAATATCTTTTAAAAAAAGGGAGATTAGTTTCACGTTATTATTTTTTTTTCTTTCTGTTTCTCTAACAAAATTTGAACTGCTTTTTCTATACTTTTAATTTCAAGACATTTATCTTCACTCTTCCTTTTCATATGGTTTCCTTTGATAACTCCAAATCTTTTTTTTCTTCTGTCTCTTATATGATAAAAATAAACTAAATATCTAAATTGTTGTAAAAATCTAGTAAATTTTTTTTTTCCTTTTAATCATCAACGATTTTGGTTAAAAATTTTTAACTGATGGTTGCTTTGATTTTTCTTAGCATTCTTTCTCTTTTGATCAAGGTCTAACTAATATTTTAGGCACACGCCTTTCACAAACCTTATAAACTTGTTTGTTAGTTTAATTGTTAAAGGTATCAGGTTGTTCTTTTACACATGGTCTACTCGCCATCTTTCTTTATATTATTGGTTATATATTGGTTACAATCTAAATAACATAAACTCTTCTTTACCATTGTTTTACTATGACTTGTAACTAAAACCAATATAAGAGCAAAATAGATTTTAACTTTTTGGTATATGTATAGTGGGTTTATAAAAAAAAGAAATTATCAAGTCTAGCGCTCTCGCAACTTGAAGACTCTACTATTTCGAAATTTCAACTGAACTGAATATTATGGCAAAACTTTCTCTGCTAAAGTTGCATTAATAATCTTCAATGAGTCAAGAGTTGTTTCATCTTGCTTCGTAATTTGACCAGTTGCATACAGAATTTGGATCTATCGATTGGATTAGTCATATACAGGAACTTGAATCAAACACATTTGCAATTCATACCATGCAATGATGTAATGAACTTTTTCGAGTGATTTTCTCCAATAAAAAAATTACCATATTTGCAGCGTCCTTTTTTAACTTTTTTTTACATCTGCAGATTTCACTTTATCTTGACCTAATAAATTCTGAAGTTTTTCTTAAGTTGAGAAACTAAATGAACATCTTTTATCTCTAGATAAATACCTTTATCAGTAATATCAAGCTCTAATAAGTTAAGAACAGAATAACATTTAAGGAAAATATCAGTTTTAACAACCAACTGAATAAGGTAATGCAGCATCTCAAGGTCCTTGCCAAGAAAAGACAACATGGGATCATCTGTTTGATATTTTTTTCGGATTTTGAGGCTGCAAAAGGTGTGATATAGTAGAAAAATAAAAGCTTTTATACTAAAAGACATTGGTAACTCCTTTTTTTTACAATCAAATAGCTCTTTGACGACGGCCTTTTAAAAGATAATAGATTCTGCTGGAAATTATTTATCTTTATTATATTTGGCTATATTTCTTTGATGACAATGTTTACAAATTAACTCAGACCAGCTTCGTCTCTTTCCAATTGCATTTCCCTGAGAACCTTCCAGTTCACATTAGAACCATGCATAGGTAGTTGTACTTGTTTAGATAAATCCAAACCAGATACACTATTTGAATAACTTTGTTCAAACTTTCAACATAACAAACAGCCAGCCTGATGGCAACAGTCTGATGCACAGACTTGTATTTTAAAAAAGTCCCTGTAGTTAGGTGCAATTGCATAACTAACATTAAATTTGTTTTTGCCAAGTTAAAATATTTGATACAAAAAAAGAATTAAAAAATTGAAATAAATGTTCAAAATAAGATATATTATTTTAAATAATTGTAAATATTTAGCATTAATATTTACAATTATTTAAAATAATAATTTAAAAAAGAATTTTTTTATAATTTTCAACAAACATTAGGTAGTAGATTATTAAAACTTATATAAAAAAAAGGAAATTTCAAAAACATTAAGCATTAAAATCATTTATATATAAAATGATTAAACTTAAACATAATCAAGATATGTTATCCGCCTATAATGAATAGCCTATGAATATTATTAATAGTGCGCATAGTTACGCGTATTGTTTTATAGTTACGGTACGGTTCTGTATCTGTAAAATACACTTTTTAAGTAGTTTCTAGACTTTTCTTTACGGCGTGCTTACTTACAGATTTCCCTTCAACCTTTCATGGTACGAGTTCAAAATGTCTAAGTTGACATTAAGTAGATAATGTTTAGTAGCTTAAAATTATAGGTAATCTAAATTTTTTTTTTAAATTTAAAAGTAATTAATTTATTGTAATCTTTTTTAAATTGTAATTTTAAATTTAAAGCTTCGTGTTATAGATTACTTTAATTCTTAAATTGTGTCTAGCGTTAAAATATATTTATGGGTAGTTTTATGCTTTCACTTAGTTTTGGTTATTGGGATAAAATCCATGACAACATTTTGTTATAAATTTATCTTAATTTAATTTTTATTGAAAATTTTGTTATAAATAAAATTTGTCTTTAATATTGTTAATACTTTTGCCCTTTGAAAAAAAATATGTTTCTGGCTCTTCAATAAATATAAAATTATTTGTCTTGCATGAATGAATTTTGGTTTAGGATTTAATTGTGTTAGTTTATGTTTGTCTATCTGTAATTTATTTAGGTTAATAGAAAATTCATGTTTACAGAGTTGTTATTAATCATAATCGAGTTGTTAAACCAAGGAAATTGTGGAGGTTTATTTATCATATATACTATATATATTATATAATTATATTGGAGGGAGTAAGTTTAGAAGCCTTTTTAAATTTTTAAAAAAAAATAAAAATACTTTTCAATATATATCTGTTTTCTTTGAGGTAGAATTAACTTAACTTAACATTGTAAATTAACTTTACAATGTTAAAATGGTTTAAACGAACTTAAACGGATTTTTGTAAATGAATTTAATCCTCAAAGATTAAATTTTTTTTATTATTGAAGAAATTAAACTAGATTTAAGAATGAGTCGACTTAAATGTTTGTTTGTTTTTCTATTTAGATGATGACAATATTGAAGCAAGTAAGTTAAAAAGCATTTTTAAATTTTTAAAAAGAAATAAAAATACTTTTCAATATATATCTGTTTTCTTTGAGGTAGATTTAAAGTTTCAGTTTTTAAAATCATATATATTTTAAAATCATATATATAACTCACATATCTTTGTTTTTCTATTTAGACTTTGGTAATAATATGAAACAAGTAAGTTATAAAGCATTTTTAAATTTTTAAAAAGAAATAAAAATACTTTTTATTATATATCTGTTTTCTTCAAGGTAGATTTAAAATTTCAGGTTTTTAAAATCATATATATTATAAGATTTAAGAATGAGTCGACTTGAATGTTTGTTTGTTTTTCTATTTAGACGTTGGTGATAATATCGAAACAAGTAAGTTATAAAGCATTTTTAAATTTTTAAAAAGAAATAAAAATACTTTTCAATATATATCTGTTTTCTTCGAGGTAGATTTAAAATTTCAGGTTTTTAAAATCATATATATTATAATATTAAATTCTTTTTTACTTTAAAAATATCTATATTATAGTTACACTTAGTCGTAGAAAAAAAATTAAAGTTTATTAATAAGGTAGTAGATTATTAGAGTAGATTAAATTGTTTGATCTATTAATCAACTTAATAACGTACTATTAATATGAAGATTTATTTTGGTTGTTTGTTTGTTAAAATTTAGTTAGAGTTTATTTAAAATTTAAATTCTTTAGTTAATCAAGAGAGATCTAATAAAGGTATTAATTACATTAGTTGAATGTGGCATTTAATATGTATTTTATCGATATAAGGAATAATATAATAAGGAATAGAAAAATTTTAAAAATTTGCTCTGGAATTTGTCAAAAGAGTGTTGTGTTATGCTTCATTTTAAGGTATCTAAATATATATTCATTAGAAATTTTTAATTTTGTTTTTAAATGGTTTATTCTTTTTCACTACTTTAGATAAATATATACTGACTGACATAACTTCATTTTTATTAACAATGTCGTGCATTGTAGTCTGCATTCTTTGTTACATTAAAAATAATTGATGCTAATAAATGTTCTTTTATAGTTGTTAAAAGTTTGCATATATGTTTGCATTTATATTATGATCAAAGTTAAATTTTTTTTGATAAATACGTGTATGTGGTGATACTACTCAGGTATCACCGCAGCTTATCTCTATCAGGTACATTGATTTTTAATTCACATATGATGTTTTTCTTTGTATTTACTTATTCATTACATTTTTAACTTCAGATTTATGGTGTATTTATTTGCTATAGAAGAACAAATCATTTTGAATTTTTTAAAAATATCTACACCAATCAACATTTAAAGTTCAATGTTGCATATACCATTTTAAAGTAGCTTCTAGGCTTTTTTGATGCTTTTCTTATTCAAGTGGTTTCATAAGCAAGGTCTATAAGCAAATTTGAGATGAAAAGTTTTTCAGCTTTCAAGGAGTATCAATGTTGTTCTCTGTATAATTTAATTTGTTTAAATAGAGTAGTTTTAGTAAATAAATGTTTGTTTGTTCTTGGTTTTTTACTTATTTGTTATCAGATTCTTAAGAATTAGGCAACTTAGCAAGCAAGATTTATTTTATTTTTTAGTGCAATTGGAAAGAGCTAAAGTGCTTTTTAGTTACTTCAAATCATTTGTTTGTTTTTTTTTAAATAGAAGGGTTAATAATAAAAATATATAGACAGTCGAACTGTTACTGATTTGAGTAAGTTTAATTTTTTGTTTAATTTTATATTAGATATATATTTTATGTATTTAACATGAAAAACTGACTGTAATTTTTGACAGGTAAGTTTATATACATAAATGTGCCTATATATCGGAATATTTTATATTTCTCTGAATCTATATGAATATTATCTCAAAGAAAAAATTAAGAATAGAAAAAATTTGAATATATATACATGCATATATATTACTTTAGACTGACATTGCTTCATTTTTTATACAAGATTCTGCATTTATTATTTTTGTGCATTAAGATTGTGCCTGAAGGCTTTCTTAATTTAGCAAAGAATTTAGAACACAATGCAAATAACTTTGCACTGTGTTCTAAATTCTTTGCTAAATTAAAATAATGTAAATAAATTTTGTTTTATATTTTTCAGTTGTAAAAGTATAAAACGTTCATTTATTCAGTTGTAACAGTAGCATAACCACTGGTAATATATATTTTATGATAACAGATTTATAATATTAGGCTCGAAGAAGTTATTAGTGTAAATGGTTATAGGTGACTTGAAATTGTTGTCATATGAAAGAAATAGATCTAGGCGTGATAAAATTAATTGTTGTTGAATAATAAGAAATTTTGCTTGATGAACCGAAAACTTACTTGACAGAATTCAGTGTCAAGCGGTGTTGATGTCTATTATTTGACTTAACATTAGACACTTTAAAATAAAGCAAAGTATGAATTTTACTATTTATAGTAACAAATAATAACAGTTTCAATTTTAAATGATTTTTTGTTTTTTTGTTTTGTTATCTTAAACATAATTGCGTTCTTTTTTTTTTTAGTTGTCTTTGTCATCACTTGATTATTTTGCTTACTGTTGAAACATGGTTTTAATTTTGTAAATTTAATATGATGTGAAATTTACAATATTCATTTGTCAACAGTTAAAGAGAAGCTGGAAATTAATTAAGAAATGCTGGAAATTAACTTTTAGTTAAGGTAAAAATGATTTTGTTTATTGGTAGCATAATAAAACCAGTTACTGTTATTTATTGCATGACTTTTTTACTTTTTATAACATGGTGTTTTTAAAACACTTCCTCTCTCTCTTAGATAAAACTTAAATAAGAATTAGAAATGAGAATTGTAGAGAGAGAATTGATTAAAGATAAAGTAATTACTGAGCTCTGATTAAAATCTGTAATTACTAAGCTCTTGCGTATTTTTTAATACTGCAATTGATAATTTGCTATTTAAAGATATTCTTTAAATTGTCCCTTGGTTGTTTAAATATTGTAATAAATAAAATCTTTTTAGTTTCTCTTAGGGATCGTCTCTAAGTATTTTCTCTTAGGGATCGTCTATATATTACGCAACGCGAAATTAAACATAGACAAAAGAAATATCTCAAAAACCGTGTTTCTCTCATGGTCAACTATATGCTGCATTTTCAAGAACTATACCATTTAATAGTTTGTTTTTCAAAATTGATAAATATCTTATTCAAGGTATAGTAAGTAAAAAAATGTATCATAAATATTGTTATATTTTTTAAAGGTCTTAATTTATAGTCTTTAGATTTTCATTTCGAAAATTTACTGTTAAAGGTTGTGAGCACATTTTGTATGTATAACTTTATTTATCATTATTATTTTTTTTTTTTTTCATAGTTTTTGGTAAATATATCTATCATTCAATAGTTGTAAAAAGTGTTTATACGTGTTACATAAAGTCATATTTGTTTATAGTTATATATATGATTAAATTATAAAAGCCAAAACAACAATTTATATCTTAGTTTGATTTTTTTTTAGTATTCTTAATGCTTTGGTACTTCGAAACAGGTTTTTTAGTTACATTTTCGATAAATATTTAACTGCAATTTCAAAATAGGTTACTATAAATAGGTAAATCGATTTTTGGTAATTGTGTGGTGGTGTTTTTTTTTTTTTTTTTTGGTAATTATGATATCATAATTTCATTACTTTTTTATTTTAGAACTACGTTATGACGCATTTATAAGATTTATAAAATAAAATAACCTGATTTCATTTTATTGTAAATTTTTGTTAGTTAAAAAGATATAAATATAAGCTATTAGTTAATTTTATATTTTATCTATTTTTTGCCTAATAATTTGTTGTACGTATTTTAAGGGGATCTTTGTGAATGGGGGGTCGTAACTAAAAACCTTTAAAAATATAAAGAATATTGTTGTTTGCGCATTAATATCGAGTTACTCAAGTTTTATTTATGTGTTTAACTAATTAGTTAGCTTAGTCTGTATTTGCAACACTTTTAAGGAAAGAAAGAAAACATTCTTATATATGTAGATCATTGTTTTACATTTTATTATTTTATTTTATTTACCTGGCCACCATTAAAGCAAAAAGAGGGAAGGAACCTCTTTATTAGAGTCAAAATATTTAGGAAAATTAAATTTCGAGTTACAAAAGGAATTTTTAGTAAATGGTGGCAAATTACCGTTTACTAAAAATTAATGAAATAAAGAGAACAAACAAATAATATAGAAATGGTCTGTGTTGAACAGACTTAACAAGACCCGGGTCGTATCAGCTCGGTTTACAAATTTTTATGTCTACTTATAATTTTTATTTTAGTTTGTTCTATGATGCATTAATGTATTAAAAAATTTGTTATACCTATGTTTGATCGTAAATTAAATTTTTTTTTGTTTGAAAGGTATTTGTACTCAGTTGCGTAGTTATAATAAACTTTATTATTTTTTATAAATTTATTTAAACGTGTGCATTTAACATTTTTAAGTTAACAATTTTCTTTTCTAAAGAACAATTAATCAAGGGGATAACAAAAAATTGATAACTCCTGTATAATATAAGTTAACTTCATTTTAATCTTAATGGTTCGTGTTATAAAAATTATTACAAGGATTTAGTTGACACTTTCGTCAATTTAAAGTATAACCAAGTGTTATTATTTTGCGTCAGTAACTAAAA